TGGAACAGCAGTTTTTGGCACGCGCAAAATCTGTGGCTCTGAACAGGCCTGGGTGGGAGGCGCCAGACTGAGCTAGACTCCAGCACCCACTGGTACTCATGAGAGCCATCGTGGGTGTTGGAGCAGGCTGGACTAGGTCTCGGCTTCCACTAACCACATGAGAGCTGTGTAGGGGGGTGGACCAGGTGTGGATGGGTTGCAACACCCAGCAGTAAGAACCAGATCGGGTATGGGCTGGTTGGGCAAGGACAGAGTTTCTGCCAGAACAAGAAGTGGTCAGCCTGGGCCAAGGACCCACCAGCATGTGTATAAGATCTGCCACTGGGAGGTGACCTGATAGAGGGGCTTGAGGAACTCCTTTGTCAGGACACAGTCCCTGCAGGTGAACACAACAACCAAGGCAAGGAACAGCTGAAATCAGGCCAGGCTATAATACCTGCCAGCCTACATGTGGGTCAGGTCTGGGGATGGGCCAGGCTGGGCCAGTTCATAACATTCACTGGCAGATCTGAGAACCAGGACAGGGTACAGGACAGACTGGGTCGGGCCGCAACACCAGCCAGTTCACACTGCGGCTGGGACACGGGGCTGGCTGGGCCAGGTTGGACTAAGCCAGGCTGAAATACCCTGTGGTTGATGCTGAGGTGAGGCAAGCCATGTGGGTCTTGGGCAGTGGGTGCTAGGTCCATGAGCCACAGGAGCAGAGGGATCTGATGGGCCAGGTTGCCTGGCCTGGGTCCTTTGACTCGCCTGTGTGTTGGAGGCCAGGGACAGGGCATCTGGCGGGGCCTGGGTTACTTGACCCTGGTCCTTGGGTGTGCCTGTGCAGTGGGTGCTGGGTCCATGAGCCCTGGGAGTGGGATGTCTGGTGGGGCCAGGTTGCCTGGCCTGGGTTCTTAGTCCCACCTGCCCAGTGAGTGTGGGTCTGTGAGCCCTGGGGGTGGGAGGGGGTTGTCTGGCTGGGCTGGGTCACCTGGCTCGGGACCTTAGGCCTGCCAGCACAGTGTGTGCCAGGTCCAAGAGCCCCAGGGGTGGGGGGTCTGGCGGGACCCGGGTCACCTGCCCTGGGCCCTTGGGCCTGCCTGCAAGAACTGGTCCTCCTCAGTAGAAAATATGGAGTAGTGGATGGCTGGCCCAGATCCACATAGAGGATATGGCAACCCGTTGGGTCCTGCAGAGGACATCTGGTGCCATAGTAGAGGAGAGAGAACAGAACAAATTGGACAACCACCCCAACCAACCAATCACAGCAGATATCTGGACGAATGGAGACTCTTAAGGTTGACTAGGTCAGCCAATGGGCATTGAAAGTGTTCCCTCATTCTTGGATCGATGAGCTCGACAACTTTTCAAACTATTGATACCTCTTGGGCAGAATCCTTGGAGCTTGCCCCACGTTGGTACCCTGGGTGGATATTGGGTGGCCATTCTCATCCCCAGGTACTAGGGCTGTTGGGAGTCTTGTTGTGGCTTCTCTCCTTATCTCCCATCTCCACCCAGATACAGGAAGAAATAGAAAATTTGGATATAGTGATCACACCCACTTTTCCTAACTCAATCCTCCCCACCCTGATCTATGTAAACATCATCTAAAATAAAACTTTTTAAAAAAGCAGACAGTAGTTGGGCCTTAAGTTGCTAATTGAAATTCCCAAGGTCTCATGCCAGTGTAGACTCTACGAGTGATGGTTTATGTCACCCACATGGGATAACTGGGTTGAGTTCTTTGAATCCTGGCCCTGGCTGAGCCCCAGGCATTGCAGTTATTTGGGGAATGAACCAGCAAATGGGAGCTTGCTTGCTCTGCTTCTCATATTTTTTTTTCAAAACTTTATTTATTATTTAAAAGTGGATCATTTGGGATTCCAGCGTTGCAGGTAGCAGCTTAAGCCACAGTGCTACAATGCCAGCCCCAACTGCTTCTCAAAGGAAAAAAAAAGAAAAAGACTATGAGCTGAGTTTGACTCTTGGATCAAAATCTGATGCTTAGTCCAGTACATGATCTGTCTTGGGGAATGTTCCATGTGTGCTTGAAAAGAACGTGTAGTAATAGTTTTATATATATATAAAAATGCATACATATGTACTCTTTATTAGTGTGCTCGTGCTGGTTTCCTGTGGATTTTTGATCAGTTACTGAGGATGGGATATTAAAGACTTGCTGCTTCTGTTGAACTCTTCTTTCAATTCTGACAGTTTCTGCTTTCATATATTTTAGGTCTGTTAGGTGGATATACATTTATAATTACTGTATATTTTTAACATTTAAAAATATTTTCTTTTTTTCAAGATTTATTGATTGTTACTTAAAAGTCAGAATTAGAGGGAGAGACAGACAGAAATAGAGGTCTTCCATCGTCTGGTTCTCTCCCCGAGTGGCTACTGTGACCAGAGCTGGGTCAGTCTGAGGCTGGGAGCCAGGAGCTTCTGGTTGAACCATAAAGGTGTGTGAGCTCAGGGACTGGGACCTCCTCTGCTGCTTTCCCTGGCCTATCAGCGTGGAGCAAGACACAAAGCACAGCAAGTGAAGGATTAGTTTGCTATGCCACCAAGCCAGCCCCTGGGTATTTTAGATGCGGTAATCTTTCATCACAGTGACATATCTTTATGGTAGTATTTTTGCCCTAAACTCTTTTTTTGGGGGGCGGGGGGGAAAGGGTCTGATCGTAAGCTCTTACTGTTACCTCTTGGTATGTCTTTTTTTTTTTAACCCTTCTTCCAATCCCTTTGTGTTTGAATCTGTAATTGGGTCTTGTGCTATCTAATCTAACAGTTTTTAAAAAGATTTATATATTTATTTATTTATTTGATCTGTAGGTTTGCAGAGAGGAGAGGTGAAGGAGAGGAGCAGGGAGAAAGAAATTTCCATACTCTGGTTTACTCCCCAAGTGGCCGCAACAACCAGAGCTTAGCTGATCTGAAACCAGGAGCCAGAAGCTTCTTCGGGGTCTCCCATGTGGGTACAGGGTCCCAAGGCTTTGGGCCTTTGGGTCTGCTTTCTCAGACCTTAAGCAGGGAGTTGGATGGGAAGCAGGGCTGCTAGAGTTAGAACCAGTGGCCATATGGGATCCCGGTGCGTGCAAGGCGAGGACTTTAGCTAGTCCCCTTGGGATTTGGGCATCTTAACCAGTATCTTAATTTACTAGGCAAAACACCTGTACTTAAAAAAAAAAAACCCTTTTATTTTTAAATGTTGTTTACATAGATGAAAGGAACACATTTCAATTAGAGTGGTAAAGGTAGAGACATGGAGAAAGTTCTTGTTTTCCCCCATGTCTGCTGGCAGGGGAAGGGAAGGGCTGCTCCCTGCTGTTAGTTGTATCTGTATTCGTTTTTATTTATTTATTTTAGTACTGTATTTGAAAGGCAGATTTTCAGAGAGACAGTTCTTTCATGTGCTGGTTCACCCCCCAAATGGTCACAGTGGCCAGAGCTGAGCTGAGCTGAGGGCAGGAGCCAGAAGCTTCCTCTTAAGACCCCCCACGTGGATGCAAGGTGCCAAGGACTTGAACCAGCCTCTGCTCTCCCGGGTATAGACAGTGAACTGGATGGGAAGTGGAACAGCCGGGACATGAAGAAGAGCAACAGACAGAGGATTAATGTGCTGCACCACTGCACCAATGCCTACATCTGTATTTATTAGAAACACTTGAGTACTGTATTATATTGTCTTTGAGGTAATATAAATTCCTTCTTTTAGGAGGAAATTTGAAAATACGTATTTATCCACTTACTTACTTTTCTGGTGCTGTAATTTCGTTGTGTGGGTTCAGGTTACCATCTGGCCTTGTTCTCCTCCTTTGGTAGAATTCTCCCCCTAGCCTGGGGGTGAGGGGCCTGTGGTGGCAGCAGCCTCGGTCGCCAGTGCGGTGGACTCAGGACTGCCACGGTTCTCAAGGCTCGGTAGTTCTTGTGAAAGAGCATAAAGAATGTCAAGTTTGAAGGGGCCCTGCAAGGGTGAGGGTGGGGAAGTGCAGGCCTGACACAAGAACTCCTTACAGACTCCAAGGGGACGATTTACCTGAATCATCAGGAAATAAATATTAGTAAGGACACGTGGCCCTTGTGGGGTACCTGAGGTGAAAAGTGGTAGGATTCAGGTTTTTTCCTTTGTTTTGTAGATCTCAATCATCTCTTTGTTCCAAAATCATCAAATGTTCTGTTTGACCCCCTCTGCCTAAGGGGGTATTTCCAGTGTTTCCGTGGCCGTGGCAGGCTGTGGGCAGGCCATGGAAGGTGAGAGGTCCGCGCGTTCTTCCGCCTTCCCTAGGTTCCACAGCGGTGTGGAGGGGCTCTCACACTTCATGGAATTTGACTTTCCTGGGAATTTGCCTCCTCGTCTGTCATTGTATTTCCACACCGGAAAATTTTTCACTGAAGGCAACTTTGCTTTCTTTCCTGCACTGCATTTTATAGAAATATTTTGACTGCTGTCTAGACGTGAGAGTGTGAGATCCTTCTTTCCCCAACAATCTTAGTTATGTGTCTTTAAAGCATTTAGGAGTACAGGGGGGAGCGTTTGTGTCTTTACAAGTTAGAGAAGCTTTCTGAAACGAATCCTATTTTGATATTTTGAGTTTCCTTATTAAAATTTCTCTGGATTTCCCCCATTCTCACCGCTCCCCCAGGTTTATTTATAGCTGCATTTGAGCTGAGAAACCTGAGGAGTTTAACTCTAGAGGAAGGGAAAAGACCTTTGATTTGGACTGGAAGGTGTGGGGGTAAGGAGGACCTTATGGAATGATTCGATGGAGGAATTTCATTGTGGAGCAGAGGTGGGGATGAGGTGTTAGAGATGAAAAAAGTAAGACAAGACACCCTTTCCAAGCTAGAAAGGTGAGCGAAGATTAAAGGGAAAAAGCACTGCGTTCCGCAACAATTACCTTCTTTCCAGAGCACTGAAGCAACACTAATTTTACCCAAATGAAACCTGTGTCTCAGGTTTCATGCACACGGTTATTACTGTATAGTGAAAAATGTGTTTGTATTCTTGTCTCCAGAATCTCCCCGGAAGAAGAGACATGAGTCTCTGCAATGCTGTTTCCTGACAAGAAGTTGGTTCCAGAGAAGGAAAGGAGATTAGCAGCGAGTGAGCCGGATTTCCAGCAACCAGGATTTTGTATTTATTGCTTTCAACTGCAGACTTCTGTTGCACACTTTTAAACCAGAGGTGTCGGAACCCACACAAGCCAAAAGGATTTCTTTCTCCTGTGTTTTTTGAGATCAACGAAACTGCAATGTCTAGGAAACAAAGCCAGAAGGGTAAGATTGCTGTGGGCGTTAACTGTTAAAGCATAGCTGTGTACCGCTCATCCCCGTTTCCGGCCATATATCCAAAACTGTTCTTTTGATTATGGGTTTTGGATAGTTTTATAAATATTTGTGGGTTTAACAGTATGTCTGTGTATTACTCTTATGATTGTTAATCCATCTAATAATTGGTTTATATTCATGCAAACTTGCCTCGTTATAACATACTTGCCCGGAAGCTAAACGCTTCAGGATGATGTGCATTTGCGATTCATGGTAGGAAATCACGTGGTGCAGGATGTTCTGTGTTCTGTGAGCTGACGTTTCACTGGGGAGAGGAAACGGAGCAGGAGTAGATGCTCGCTGTGTTGGCTTCCTGCTGAAGGCTTCTTTCTGCGAGACTTAGCCCGAGCTCCTGGTCTGAGGGCAAACGGAAAGGGCAGAGACTGTACAACCCAGAGGAGCTGCAATGAGGGGAGGGATAACACAGAGCTGGAGAGACCTCCTCTTCAGCTTTTCTAGAAGAGCTGCAGAAATTTAAATTTAATAAATTTTCAAAAAAGATTTATTTATTTTTATTGGAAAGGCGGATATACACAGAGGAGGAGAGGCAGAGAGGAAGATTTTCCGTCTGATGGTTCACTACCAAAGTGAGTGTGACGGCAGATGCTGCACCAATCTGAAGACAGGAGCCAGAGGCTCTTCTGGGTCTCTCATGGGGGTGCACGGTCTCAAGGCTTTGGGCCGTCCTCGACTGCTTTCCCAGGCCACAGGCAGGGAGCTGGAAGGGAAGCGGGGCTGCCGGGATTAGTTTTTTTTTCTTCTTATATTTTTGACAATCTTTACATAGTTAATTAGGGTAAAAAGGTTCAAGGGCTATAGGAAAGTGGGTCAGACTATTATTTCCATATTGTTTCCTTCGTGTATCTGAAGTAAAGGGAGATATTGAGGGAGAACCCCCACCCAGTTTCCCACCTACCCCGAGTCCTGGATATGGGGCATGCTCTGAGATACTTGCTCAAGAGGTTTTGATGGTTTACCAGCTATGAATTGCTGCCAGTCTTGCAACTCCGAACACGATGAGGTCTTTGAAGAACCCCCTGATTGACATAGTCCATCTTAGAGTCTCCATTTGCCCAGTATTTCACTGCCTACATATAGCTGAGGTGGTTGATTGACTTGTTCGGTCTTCTGTCTTTTCTTGGTTAGGGTTTTGTGTCTGGCATTTGGATTGGGGAGATCCCCGAAGAAAACTTTGTCTGAGGTGATCCCAGAACAGATTCTTTTTTTTTTTTTTTAAAGATTTATTTTTATTATTTTGTTCCTTGGAAAGGCGGATATACAGAGAGGAGAGACAGAGAGGAAGATCTTTTGTCCGATGATTCACTCCCCAGGTGAGCGCAACGGGTCAATACCATGCCGATCCGAAGCCAGGAGCCTCTTCCGGGTCTCCCACGCGGGTGCAGGTTCCCAAAGCTTTGGGCTGTCCTCGACTGCTTTCCCAGGCCACAGGCAGGGAGCTGGAAGGGAAGCGGGGCTACCGGGATTAGAACCGGCGCCCATATGGGATTCCGGGCGTGCAAGGCGAGGACCTTTAACCACTTGCGCCACCGCGCCAGGCCCACCAGAACAGATTCTTGTGTGTTTTAGCAAACACAGGGCCTGGCACAGTCCATCTCCCCGGTGATCAGCTGGTGGTTGCAATTGCTGGGTTGGTTCTGTTTTCATTCCCAACTTCCACTGGAACCAATGGGTGTTGCAGTCCAGCTTGGTTCTGCCCAGCACATACTTGGCCCTCACATAAACCAGTGGGAGCTGCAGCTTAGTCAGAGCGCCCCACAATAATCCCCACCAGGCCTGCCCCTTACTCTGGTTTGCCAGGATGTGTATCAGTAGTCCAGTCTGTCCCACATCCCATTCAGCTCTCATATATGTCAATGGGTATTGAAGCTTAGTTCCATCTAACCAGCTCAACTATCCAGCACTCACGGATGTTGAGTGCCTCGCTGTCTAGCCACCCCAGCCTCTGTCCTAGTTTTCTAGCCCTCCCGTGAGGGGTGGTAACCCAAGAGGGAGGAGCCCACTATTTCCCTCCCAGGTCTCTCTCACTCCCAGATTATGCACTCTCCAGGTGGTTCTGTGGTTTGACTTGACAGAATTGGCCCCAGTGCCAGCTTCTGCCAGCTGATGCTGTGGCTAAGCCCAAACAACCCTCACCCACTCTAAATTTATGCTTGCACTAGTAGGAATAATCAGCCGAGCCTGGCTTTTCCCTGATCTAGTCCACATGAGGCCCACAGCTGTTGTAGCCTTGCTTAGTCTGGTCTTCCCCATCCCAGCTTGTGCTCTCCAGTGGGAGTAGCTGTCCAGCAAAGGGAACCACCCCCATATTCTCCCTGCCGACTCTGCCCCTCCCTTCCTGGTTCTCACGCATGCTGGTTGCTCGCTGCAACCACATCCAGTACAGGCAATCTCACCTTAGCATTCCTTATTGTGCACGGTTTTTGTCATGACCGAACCTGGCTCGACCCACACTCTGTTCCAGTGCTCGGGTTTGCCAGTGGATGATGTGAACTGGTTCAGCCTGGTCTGCCACCAACCTATGCCAAATGTATGTCGGTGGGTAACTTTTCCTGGCCTACTCTGGGCTGTTCCTCATCTTGCTTCTTGTGCTTACCTGCCAGGTCTGTGTCCTGTCAGAGGAGTTGCCCAGGCTCCTCCATCAGAACCGTTCTCAGTGCCAAATTTTATGTATACCAGTGGGTCCATGAGCCAGCCCTACTCAGTTCACCTCTTGTCCTAGCAGGAACAGTGGCTTTTCCCGACTGGCCTTCAGCTCAATCTGGTTCTTGCTGTTGGATGTTTCAGCCCAGCCATGGCTCATCCATACCCACATACAGCTCACACATGGCTCAGTAGGGGGCTGAGACCTAGCCAACCCACATCTACCCTGGTCCAGATGGTGTTGGAGTCTGGCCCAATTTGGTGCATCCAGTCCCAGTCCACACTTGTGCCAAGGGATACTACAACCGTTTCCTGATTAAAACACAGCCCCCATTCCAGCACGTGTCCCTTGGTGGGAACCTCAGCCCAGCTAAGGTGTCCCCTTAGCTCCCCAACTGTATCCTGATCAGAACACAGTCCCCATTCCAGCCCATGTGCTCTTGGCGGGAACCTCAACCCAGTTAGGGTGTCCACTTAGCTCCCCAGCCGGGCCTGTTCCCAGCCATAGATCACATACATGCCAGTAGTTGCTCTGACTCAGCTTAGATCATCCCCTCACCTGTCCCGGCCTGAGCCTTAGATGCTGTAGCTTAGCGTTCCTGATTCTCACAGAACAGTAGGTGCAAGGGCCTAGCTCGGCATGACTTGTGCTCCATCCTGGTTTCTAGTTTTGCTTGTGGGCTAAGGTTTGCTCAGTCCTGCCCAGTACATCCTGTTTACATTACCAATTTACACATCAGCCAACTAATGTTGGAGCTCACTTGCCCAGCTTGTCAGACCCCCAGGTCTGGACCACATGTTCACCAGTGGGAGCTATGACTCGCCAGGGGAATTTCCCAAGTTCCTCCGCTTGACCCACTCTGAGACCCAGTTCTCATACATGCCATTGGGTTTTAGGCCAGTGTCCAGTGCAGTCTAGTCTTCCATTTGGCCTTGTATTAGCTGGTGAATGTTGCAGCCCGGCCTACCCCACACCCTATTCAGGATGCACATTCGGGTGCTGCTGCCTTGACCAGTCCAGACTGTTGGGGGTTCCTTTACCTATGATTGATGGCAGGCTCCTTGGTCACACCTAGCTTAGTCCATCACCATCCCAACTCTGGAGATAACCAGTGGAACTAGAATTTCCACAGGGTTTGGCCCACACATCCCCCACAGAATCTACCCCCGGATATGGTTCTCGAGTGCTAGTTAATGTCATGTCCCTGCCTAATGTGACCCGTCTCCTGATCCATCATCATGTCAGGTAATAGGATATGATCCTGCTGGACAAGCCCCGAGCCTTAGCTTTTGCATGAACTGGTGTTTGGTGGTCAGCATTGTTCAGTGATTACAAGTTCTTCAAAGGAAGAGTTACTGTGATTGGTAATCTTAGGATTGATTCACATTCCAGAAACATAGTGGGTTCAACCTGGAGCTACCTTAGCAGCGATTCAAAGAACCAAAACCCCAGAGCTTGCGTCCGGGTGGCCATCAGCGGAGCTTGGCGCCAAATGGCGCTGGCCACCTGGGGCACAGCTCACGACGTGCATGTGGTGGCTGGAGTCGGGATCCGAGCCTGTCGCCCCATCCTGAGGCCCACCAGCAGCCAGGATTAGAACTGGCAACCATATGGGATCCCAGAGCATGGGAGGCGACGACTTTAACCACTATGCTATCTACTGGGCCCTAAATTTAACAAAATTTAACAACAGCGTATATGCAACTGGAATATATTAATTTTAAAATGGCCATGGTGTAAGAATTCTCCCTCTTTACCTCATTCAATTTCATTTTCAATTTAAATTAATGCACTGTAATTCAAAACAAAGCTCCATCAATCCAGGTCGCACATTTTAAATATGAAGGGAATGCTCTTGAACTTAATGTTGAATTGGTAATTCAAAAACCTCATTATAAGATAATCGTATACCAGAGCTGCTTGTGGTTTTGAAAGCTGTGGTTTCATTGGATAATAAATCCAATGAAAATCTGAGTTCTGAGAAATAACTTTTTTACCACAGAGTCTGAACTTAACTGTGGGATGAAATTTATAAACTGCAAAGCTTTTTATAGCCCAAATTTGTTTCTTCTTAGTCATCATAATTCAGTGTAGTTTTTCCCATTTATGCTTGAACTTTGAACATCTTTTCCTATTGAAAATGAGAAATCTTGAACACTTGGTAATTTATCAAAAAATTTAGTATATAACTTTTGCTAAAATTAACTGAAGCAAATTGCTTTCATTTTTATAAAACAAGGTGGTTTTTATTTCATCTTTTTATTTTGCTTGAGCTTTAAAAAAATCA